TGAAAAAGTATATAAAATATCTAACATATTACAGGATATAGGTTCAGTTTCTTAAAACATTAAAAGCTGCTAAAATTGAGGGGTTAAAAAAAAGATATCATATCCTATTCCTACCTACCCACCCATGTTTTTAAACTAATTTATATAAAATCTGGAGGCCGTTACAGCTAACAAAGCAGGTGTGTGGCAGAAATATTACTTTAAATTTGTCTTGTGAGATTTTACTATATCTCAGACAGCATAAATGCTGTTTTAGCACTGGATTCTTTCACTGAGCACAAAGAGTTGTTGGGGCTTTAGCATCTGACTGGTTTTGTTACGGGGTTGATTCTGGCCATAGGAAGTATGCAAATGTGAATCACTATTTACAGAGAAACCTACAACAGCTGCTTGATGTTGTAGAAGCTGGGATATATAGATACCAAACAATTCTCAGAAACCTAGAGGGTGTTCAATACGCTTATTGTGTTTCCAAAATTCACTGTACATGATCGGTTTGGTGTTCTTGTACCACAGTTTTTAACCGAAGGAACCCAGTTGGAACAATCTTAATTTTAACGAAAACTTGAAGAATTAAAATAACAATGCAAACCTTTTAGCATTGTTTTGGCCAAACTTGTTAAAACTGTAATGCAAGAACCAAACGCACTGTGATGTGGCACCAACTAATTAGCAAGCATGAATTTTTTCACCTAAGAGTGAAAAAAGAAAATCTACCATGGCTTGAAATTAAAGAGCAGAACTCCTGACTACCATTCTAGGACCGATCAAGAGACTAATAGTTAAAAACCTCAGCAGGCCTTGCTCACGATATGCAGAAAAAAAGTGCTGCAGTTTAGATACCTCTGGAATTTTTCCACAGTGTCACAGGTTTGTAATACTTGAAGCCCTACATTTCTAAGAATATATTTCTTGCTCAGTTGTTTCAGGCAAGCCCAAGACTTTGTAATTTTTAAAGGGCCCAAGATTTTTTTTTCAATAACAGACCAGCTTCTTTTTCCTGCAGTTACAGATGTAATTTCCTCTTTGTTGTCAAACATAAGGTACCAAATATGATGCAATAAATTGTTTTGAAAAACAGTTGTGTGAATATTTCAACTAATCTGTGTTGGGCTTCTGTGAAAATACACAGGTGGAAACAGAGGTGCAAGCCAGAGGCGATGTAATATGCTGGAAGGCTAGTGCAGATGGGAGCTTTCAGAACAGTCCAAGTGCTGGTGTCAGGGAAATCACATAATGCAAGTGTAGTGCTGCTCCTGTATGAGAGTTCATTGAGTGCTAGGATGGCAGCAGGTACTATGAATGTAATTTGTAATTCATAATTTGAAAGGAATCTGAAAACTGCTATTTTGATTGAGAAAATGAGCCTTAAAATGTTAAACCTATACACCGAGAACTAGCCTCAGGCTCAGGGTTCTCGTTGCATTTGCAAGATCTGAGCAAATAAGATTAAAATGATTCAGTTGTGTATATAATTGACCTTTTTTGTGGTACTTCTAGTTTATAGAAAGTATATTCTAAAGGGAATTTTCAGGAGACCTGATCCTTTTACTGATCGAACAGTTGTTAAACTCAAGCTTTCATAGTGCATTACCTGCATTCCACATCCCAGTCTAATGATACAGTGACGTAGGGGAAGTACAGACTGAACTCCAGTGCTTTGTTACGTTTTATTAACTGGCCCTGTCTCAGGAACATCTTAACAGATGGCAAAAAAACCCCAACTTTTTTTCAACTTCTCCTATGAGTGGCAACTGAGTTCTTATTATTGGGGAAGGACACTAGTGCTACCTCTGCCACTACCAAGGTGTTTGGAGGCAGCACAAGCCATGTGATAGGGGTGTGTGTGTGGGTCATGTTTAAACTGTACTGTATATTGAAATGAAATTCATATTTGTCTCGACAATGTTCAAATGATGTAGATTGTCTTAGAATGAATATTCACGAGTACTCAGAACTCTTGATGCAGATGCCACCTGTGAGGAGCTAAATTCCTAACATATATTGTATTCCAACCCAATTTTACTGGAACTATTGAATAAATATTGTATTTTCTTTCAGGTTTACTTGATAGTGATACATTGTCTGGTGTCAGAGGACCTCGACGGGGTCCACTTTATGTCCAGACATCACCCCTGAAACATTGTACTGTACTATTTTGCCCTGAGTAGTTTCAACTGGGTCATCTCACATTTGCCTCATTCACTCTACTGATTCCAAATGATACTGTGGGGGGAAAACAGGGTTAGAAAAACAAGTGGAAAAGAAAATGCAGCGATGTTGTACTCTAAACAAGTGCCTTATGTTTATTGCTAAGAACTGGTGTTATCAACCCTTTTGAGAAGAAAGGGTCCCTTGACCTGTATTAACATAGGAAAGTAAAGTTCTTTTTGTTTTTCATCATATTTACTACTTTTGTCATTTCTCATTTAAAAATTAAAATCTGACTAGGTTAGTTTATTCAGCTTTAATCAGTCAAATCATACATTTTCAACATTTTTCTGTATTCTGCATAAGAATAAAGTGTGATCTATGATAGCATGACTAAAAGTAGTCCCGATACTAGTGAATAGCTATCCCGTGGGTTTTACCGGGCCCTTCTTTTTCACAGTACTGTTTGTACTCTATGGTGTATTGTTGTTAGAGCTGTGAAATGAAAGCTGTGATTTAAGAAGAGACCAGGGAAGTATCTAGATTCAGGTAGGATGTGCTAAATTCAGGGAAGTCTTCAGCACAATTTCTAGGAATATTTTGTCACATGTAGTATCTGTTTAGAAAAAGGTAACAAGTTAACGTGTTGGATTTTCTTACAAGATAGGTATATACTTGTCTTAGTCATTACCAGCCTTAAAATTTGAAATTATTAAGAGAATTCAAAGAAAGATCGACCTTTCAGATGGAAGGTGGTCCTCCTGTTCCAGCTCGTGCTCCACATTAAGTTACAGAAAGAGTTTCTTTATCCCATTGTGCTATCATGTAAACCTTGCCGAACCCACTGCCAAAACAAAGTCTGATGGAATGGCTACGTTGCACCGTAGGGAGCTGAAATTTTAAGTTTTATTCCAATTTTGATGGTTGGAAATCTCACAACTTGTAGCAATAAAACATTTTTGGAAAAGGTTATATTCTTTATCGAATTGCACTTTCACCTTTCAGTGTGCAACTTACAGGATGGGTGTTGAAATAAAAGTATTGGTCGTGTGCAGGAGGTTCTAGAGAAAACACTCTTATTTTGGTAAAGCAGAAGAGTATTGCATGCTGAGGTTTTACAGCCTGTTTAACACTGCTACCTCCATCAGGACATAATCCCTTTTACGATGACATAATGGGCAGAAGGATGGGAGCAGTATGTTGCAGGAAAGAGGGTCTAAAGGTTTCTAGCCTCTCAGATTGTCCAGTTGCTTTTGAAGCAATGCCATCTTGGGATGGTAACCCCAAGAAAAAAATTGGTACTATTTAAATCAGAACTTTTGCTAAATTGTTGGCTAGAGACAAGCTTGGAATCTTAATCTTTAGTGCTCTTTACACAGTTCTATGTGCCAAAAACTATAGATTTTGTTTCAAGGCTGCTTGTAAGAAAAGTAAAGTTAATTCTTGGCACTCTAACAAGATTGTAATGTACTTAACATTCTTATATCAGGCCTTTCTTTGTATCTATTTAAAGGATCTGTGTTATTTCATACATTGGTACAATTCTTCCTAACTGAAAACAAATTAATGGTGATGATTGATGATGGAAATTATTTTTATCTGTGAGATAAAGATTTCTGCTGTTGTTAAATCTTCAACTTGGCTCAGTAAGTACAAATTATCTTCTCATTTAGAAACAACAAAGAACTGAAGAGATTTTAGGAGTTTTCTGGATCCCATCTTTGGCTCTGACCCAATAATTATATCTGCCTAGTTACCTGTGTATTGTCTAACAAACAAGAAGCCTCTCTCTATATCATTCGATGACTTTCCAGTCAACAATGGTTTCCTAATATTGGGCTTTTATAAACCTGCCACTTGTGCTGTAAGTTTACTGCGTCCATTGTCTGGTGTTTGATGCCTCATTGCAAGTGGCATAGAAACTGGGCTTTCTAAAGTGTTCTTCCAAAACTCTGGTGTTTCTTCATTAATAAGGAATAATTACCACCTCGTCTTATTTTTTGAACTACTTATTTGCCTTCAACTGCTGGTTGATAACTTTAAAAATGAAAAGGAGGCCATTTAAAGAAGTAGATAATAGGACTGTTTCTTAGCTCCTTCCCTTTAAGTTGTGAACAATGGAATACTAAATACTACTTCCCTTCATTAACAGTAAAAAGTTGACTGCATTAATAACAGTAATAGATATATTCAGAAACATTCAGCTAGCATCGTTATACTGTTTGTTTGCTCAGATATTGAAAAGGACCTAAGAATAAGCACACTGCTCTGCTTGTGAGTTTTTTTATAACTTAAATTTTTATTTCAGGAGCCTATTCATTATTTTAAGCATTCGCTTTCACATAGCATTTTTCATTCACCTGCTTGGATGCTTTTTACTTGAGAGAGATGTCTAATTACAGTATGACGTTAAATGATTAACTTTGGTTCAGACTCATGTAAATCCATTTCTAATGTGATGTATAAAATCTTCAGGATTTACACTGGGTACATTTTAGTATAAAGGTATAGTTACTAGGACAATACATAGGTATTCAAATTCTTGTTAAATTTGCTGTAAATATTAATATTGCTCTACAGATTGTAGAAAATAGCAATAAAGTACTATTAACTTTCAGGTCACCTGCAAAGGCTCACAAATTTTTTATCCCTTATTTGTTGACTTAGAGTATTCCCATTCATCTTCCCCTTGACCCTCTCTGTTGGTCTTGAGGAACTTCCTCAAAATACCACACATCATTATATATATCTTTTATATTGAATGGATTTCTCACATCTAATTTT